GGTGGTGGTGGCCGGGAGCGGCCACTGCACTCCAGTCTGGGCAACAGAGTGAGACGCCAACTCAAAAAAAGAAAGAAAGAACAGCGGGATTGGGAGGTCTCTCTCCTCAATAGGTGAGAGCAAGTTTATTCTCACAGCATGTTTTTTATCTAGGGCAAAACTACACAAACAAATATCTTAATGCTAGCATCAGCTGGAAAAAAGGTTAATGTTTGTGACTTTTTTGGCAACCTTACCATAGCACTAACATCTTTGTTTTCTGTGAGTCTAAGCAAAACCATTAACATCTGTGTTCTTTGAAGTTCTGAGTAAAGTTATTATCGAAGCAGGCTACATCCAGCCTACACAGACTGGAGGCCACACCACCTGAATTCTACTAAATCAACAATCCCAGGGACAAACATCGAGAGAAGAAAACCCTGGCCAAACTCTTGTTGGAGCCAGGCCAGAAACACAAGGACCTTGCCAAGCTTATGTCCTTGTTTCCTTCAGTAAATTTTGTTTTGCGCAGTGTCGAGCGCCTGTAGTCCCAGTTACTCGGGAGGCTGAGGCAGGAGGGTTGCTGGCACCCAAGAGTTCTATGCTCATGCTATGCAGATGGGGTGTCCGCACTAAGTTCAACATCAATATTACAGAGTGAGCAGGGGACCACCAGGCTGCCTAAGGAGGGATGAACGGCCCAGGTTGGAAATGGAGTTGGAATTTGCACGCTGATCAGTCGTGGGATTGCCGGTGGATAACCACTGCATTCCAGCCTGAGCAGCGTAAGGAGACCTGTCTCTAGAAACAAAAAGAAAGAAAGAAAAAAACATAATAAATTTTCTTAGCATACAGTGTTAATGGAAGGTAATATAGAAAGCAAGGGTAAGCGATACAATAAACAACAGTCTACAGGTAACCAGGAATATAGCTAGTTCCTAAGAGTGTTATGTAGGTTTTTTGTCTTTTGGTTTTGAGTCACAGTCTCCCTCTGTCACCCAGGCTGGAGTTCAGTGGCACACTGCTCACAGCCACCGCAGCTTCGACCTGCTGAGCTCAGCGCTCCTACCACATCAGCCTTTCAAGTAGCTGGAACCAGAGGTGCGCAACACCATGCCCGGTTAATTTTTTGATTTATTGTAGAGTCGAGGTCTCGCCAAGTTGCCCAGGCGGGTCTCAAAACCCTGGGCTGAAGCAGTCCTCTCTCCTCCACCTCCCAAAGTGCTGAGATGACAGGCGTGAGCCCGGCTTGTTTTGTTTTCATTTATTTACGCCAACCCTGTAAATTAGAGGCCATTCCAGTTTTAAAGATGAGGAAACTGAGGCACTGAGCGTTTACACAACGACCTGGAGTCCATGCAGCACAGTTCATGGCTTTAGACTCTTCTGAATAACATTTAGGTTAATATCTATTCTTCCAAATCTTTTGCGGTAAATATGTGAACATTAAAAAATGGGGTCAAGTGTTGTATACTGCTTAAGGATCTGCAACCTCGTCCTCTCCAATATTTGTCTTTCCATGGATTAAGCAGATTTTAAGTTCCTAGTAGGAGTGTTTTGAGCCCAGGAGGTCAAGGCTGCAGAAAGTTGTGATCATGCCACTTCACTCAAGTCTGGGCAACAGTGTAAGATCCCAACTAAAAAAATATATATGCTTAGTGGGAGTTTACCATATTACTTTTCCAGTTTGTTTTTGTTTTTGTTTTGAGTCAGGTCACTCTGTTGCCCAGACTGGAGTGCAGTGACACAATCCTGGCTACCACAGCCCTGACGTGCTGGGCTCAGGCAATCCTACCACCTCTGCCTCCCAAGTAGCTGGGACTACAGGCACACACCACCACACCCAGCTAACGTTTTCATTTTATTGTAGAGACGAGGTCTCACTATGTTGCCCAGGCTGGACTCAAGCTCCTGGGCTCAGGCAATCCTCTCACCTCGGTCTCCCTAAGTGCTGGGATTACAAGCAAGAGCCATTGTACCCAGCCTTTTTCCCAGCATTTTTTATTAAGCATCTAAGGTTGCCAAATGGCTTCCATGTATATCTTATATATGCACAGAGGGTACCAAAAAAGTGTATACATTTTAAGAAAGGAAAAAACTATTAAAATTGTGCTCCTCAGTCAGGCTTGGTGGCTCAGCCTGTAATCCCTGCTTGGGGAGGCTGAGGTGAGTAGATTGCCTGAGCAGTTTCGAGACCCACCGGGCAACTTGGCGAGACCTCATCTCTACGATAAATCAAAAAATTAGCCAGGCGTGATAGCGGGTACCTGTAGTTCCAGCTACTTGGAAGGCTGAGGCAGAAGGATGGCCAGAGCCCAGCAGGTCGAGGTTGCAGTGGCTGGGAGCGGCCACTGCACTGCAGTCTAGGTGACAGAGTGAGACTCCAACTCAAAACAAAAATAAAATGATGCTACTCAATAAGATGAATACAAGTGACATTTGATCTCTGCAATTACAAGAGCTGCTCAAGACACTTTTGATTACAGTGAACATCTCTTAACATTGCTTAAAATGTGTATACAATTTTTTTTTTTTTTTTTGAGTTGGAGTCTCACTCTGTCACCCAGACTGGAGTGC